ATGAGTCATGGAGGATGTCAGTGAAGAAAGCTGAGTTGAATAGCAGGTATGCAGCTGAAGACCCCCAAGAGCCCCAGGATCTACAACCCATCTCCCTATGAAAAATAACATGAAAGTTCCAGATAGTTCCATGAATGGGACAGTGGCTTCAGTTGAATGGCAGCTGTGCTSAATGTAGAGTTAGTTTCCTACAAATGTGGAATTTCTCAAGGGCAAGATAGGTGCATTGAGCAGAATGTTTTCTTTGATATAAGGAGGCTGATTCATAGTGGGAAAGGGGGAGGGAGCATGGGAGGAATAGGAGAACTTTAGATAGGGCAGAGGGGTTGGAGGGGAAGGGAGGGGTTATTAATGATGGTGGAATGTGATGATCATTATTATCCAAAGTACTGGTATGAAGACACGAACTGGTGTGAATCTACTTTGTATACAACCGGAAATATGAAAAATTGTGCTCTATATGTGTAATAAGAATTGTAATGCATTCCACTGTCATATATAAATAAAAAAAAGATAGGTGCATTGAAAAGGATTCTATTTTACCTCCCATGGACTTGCTCCAACAATTGTATTTTTTTCAAACATCACTATCATGTACTTTATTCAAATAAATAGGATCATATTTGTCATCTTGATAGAAACAAGTGCCTCTCGCAAATCCAAAGTCCTAAAATTAAACCTATGAGCTCAATTGCTGTTGGACACAGATAATTGTCCAAGTCAGATTAATTAGCTCCATCACAAGAGTTTTACTTATTTCGGGTATCTCCATTCAAAAGCCAGAATGTGCGGTGTCAATCTATTCCATGTGTGGGGCATCGGGTGTGTTTTCCGGTCAGGGGTGGGATGACGAATTACAGGCTATGGGTGGGATTCAAAATCGAGTGTCATGGACTCTCTGGAGCTGTGTGTTTTGAAATCTGTTTCCTTCAATTACATCTGCCTTATTTTCCCTGGGTTAATAAAATACAGAGCTTTCAGGCTGATTATTTTTGAGACTATTTGGATTCTTTCTGGAACTAGGAAGTAAATCGTCAGCTTATACACAAGGTGGCACCCTGTGATTCCAACCAGGTCTGAGAGAAGAGATTCTGCTAAGAGACTGAGCCGCAACTACAAAGTTTTTATTTATCATGTGGTATTTCTGCTGTGGCGAATAAAAAGGTGGAAGTAGGTGTTTGGCATATCATCTCTCAGTATAGCCTCCATCATCTCAAAGATTCAAGCTGCCTCCATAAAGGGTGCTGGAACCATCGGACTAATTCCAGTCCATTGAAATAAATGCAGATCCCACATTCACATTACATATGGAAAACAACGAAGCTTTATTGGTTCTAGGCTCATTCCTGGGAATGCAMGGGGGAGGGGTAGAGATGCAGTTCACATACCAACCCAATTAACTTTCAATTTGGTTTGCTGAAATAGGGAGCCAATTAGAAAGAACGTGCCATTTACAAAACTCTSAAATAGTTGAATAGTAACTGTTTACTATTTTTAAGGTTCCTTTCAAAAAGTAATTTGTGCATTATTTGGAAGCTGCCTGTCCTGATTTTAGCAGTGGGAAATGAAAATTGGAATATAATCTCAATTTTTACAGTTCCTTACTATTTGTTCTAATTCAGACTATATTTATACAGGGGATTTATTTTTCAATATGACTTTAGAACTGGTTSTAATTGTTGGGTGTTTATACATTAAATTTGCTGGGCCACATGCATGTCACTTGGAAATAATCTAGAGCATATTTGAAGTGAACTGATTTTAGAATGATCGTACTCAGTGCACTGTGTGTAGAAATTAAAATAGGCTCTTAGGCTGCATAACCCTTTGAAATAGGTATGATAAAGACATTTTATAAGAGGATCTACTTCAAAAGTTGAAAGGTAATTTTCTGTCTTTAGCATTAACAAGTATATGGGTATACTATAAATTGACTAGAAATAGACTTTGCAAAAAAATTGTATTTACATATAAATAAACACTACTTCCAATTGTGAAACAGAGGCATTCTGGTCTGGGCACTGAATTGGAAGCCAAGAAAACACAGAATGTGTCTTCATTGAAAAATGTATTGTGTTATTTTCCTCAAACTGTTTTATTCTCAGCTCTATAATTATTGCCTTCAGGACAAGAAGAAAATGGAGATTTGGGGAAGAAATCTGTTGCATGGCCAAAGTAGAAGAATAACAGCAAAATAACTACTATAGCAAAAGCTGTTCTTATAGTTGAATTTCAGGTTTCAAAAAAGTTTGAGATGCTTTGATTCAAAAATTCCTATGGCCAAAGTCAGAAAGATAGAGAACAGAGTAAGCTAAATGAAAGCAAATATCGGCAGCAATGGCTAGGTCAGATGACAGGCCAGTAGGATATATGAATTCCAAGCTGGAGTGGGCTGGGGTTGGTATCATTAAATTTCTTCATGGAGTAACAGTCTACAAACAGATAATAGATTTCTGCTATACATGAGGCAAGGAACTGGGGATAAACTGATTAATGGAGCAGATGTCATTTCTTGAGGTTATTGCATCTTTAGGCTCTGGGTTATGCATCGAACAGCCATTAGTTGGAAGTTGGATCAGCAACTTTAGAAAGTTGAATCATCAATTAACTGAAGTATTAGATAGGAGGGTAGCATTGTTGAGAATATAAGAATTTTGGAGTTAGGATATACCTGGATTTGAACCCAGTTCTATGAGTTATTTGTTTGAAATTTAGCAAATTATTTGACTGAGGCTGGCTTCTTTATTGTTAAAATTATAATAATTCTGCTTATAAATAAATATTGAGTTATAGAGTTATAAGAATTAAGTGTAATTCAATTAATTGAGATTATATAAAGTATCACTATAATGGCTGGTATGCTATAGATACTTAATATTTGTTTTCCTAAAGGAGTAACAATAAATACAGAGACTGGAAGAAAGCTATCATTTCTGMACCTGAGAAGAGCTGGGCATTCAGCTGAAAGCCCTGGATGACTCATTTTTTCAACCAACGCTTCCACTCCACTCTCTTCATACTTGAACCCAGCAATGACCCCCTCCCAAGAACTTCATGTTCTTCTTTGCAGAGGACTGGAGCTGCTCCAGAGGGTAGCACKCAGAGCAGGCCATGCCTATAAGCTTTAGGAAGCTACTGCTTACAAGAAGTGAGTCACAGCGTTTCCATTGTTTCCAATAACTGGATGTAAAACACTCAAATTCACTAAACAATGCTCCTACTCTTGCGGGACAAACTGGTTAGATTATTTAGACTCTGAACTCCATATCATGAACTCCATATCCACCATTCTGCCTTCAAAGGAGGAGGTGGAGAGAGAAGGGGAAAAGGGAGAGGAGGAAAAGGAGGGGAAAAAAGAGGAAGTACAGAAAGAGGTGCTAATGAATAAAGATACAGTTTTGATGTCATGTAAACATGACTGTAGGAATCCATATTTTCCCTGTTGGACTTCAGCAAACCATCTATCAGTTATTAGAAAATGGTAAAATTGTTACATTCTTCGTGGRGATTTTGTGAGAAATCTGTAATGCTTAAAGACTAATCAAGAACTCAGCAAAAAGAYGGGGATATCAACAATAGTTGGTACTTATTCTAGCCAACTTGATTTTACCTCCTCTTTGGAGCTTCCTGTAACTAGTTCAGGCTAAAACTATTTTTCCTATCTCTGAAATCTCACAGCAATTGTCTTTAGATGCCATTTCATAACTAATCACGTACTACTGCCTCGTTTCATCTAGTTTTCTTCAAGTATTCATACCTGGGGGGGGCTGTCATTTATCTTTGCAGCTGCCCCTTTCTTCGAGTATTTATAAGTCTCACTGTTATTCATGTTTCCCACCGTCCTGTCATTCTATCAACAGGAAAGCTACATAAGGACAAGAACTTTATCTCAGATTTCTTTGTGTCTTCACAGCACACAGTATTTTACACACATCGGCCCCTTGGGAAATGCATGGTGTCTTGGTTAAACTTTTTAAATCGAACATTTAAGAACGCTTAACATTTTTGAAATCAGAGAAATATCTACGGTCCACTAAATAACTCTAGTTTGGGTGACAGATTTGAAGTTCACTTGTTGCATGCGGCAGTCTCAAACCATTAACCCTGTGTCCATGAGCATCTTCCCAGTGAACGCGAGGCTGAGCAAGGATGCCTTACTTTGGAGAGCTCTTTCGGACAGGTACTTAACAGAGAATTCGGGGAAGAGAGCTGAGACTGCTGAACGTTTTCACGGCAAGCAAGAYCCGGCAGGGCTGCACCCCTGAGTGGACAGACGGAATGGACCTTTCGCATCTCCCCAGGRTGCGCGAACTGGAGATGTTCAGGGAGCGCTGGAAATAAGCGCTTTGGGGACGGCTGTTGGTCTCCGGTGGATAGTGTCCTTTCCCGCTCACAGACTTAGGTACACAGGAGCGGCTCAGCGCTGCTGTCTCTTGCCCGGCGCCTTCCTCTGTGTCACCCATCGAGCGGAGTGACCCGGGCGCGAAGGCACAGGCACACGTTCTGGGACGCGGGGAACTTGCGCACCTGGCACCTGTCACACCGCGAGAAACCCGGCGGGCAAGCGGAGGGGCGCCACCCGCCACCCCGTCTTCCCCAAGAGTGCCGAGGCCGAGCACGCTCCCGCCGGCCCGCAGCGCAGCGGAGAGAGTGGGTGGGCAGGCGAGGGAGGGGAAGGGAGAGGAAGAAGGGAGGGAGGGAGAGGGCGAGGCGCGTCCCCGCGGCGGGGGCGCGCTCTCGCGCGGGCTGCCGGGATCGCTCGCCGCCGCTGTGGTAATGTCCGCCATGTTGGCCATGGCGCAGGGAGCGGATCGGGCGGGCGAGCGGCGGATCTAGTGTGTGGAAGCGGCCGCGGGCGGCGGGGGGCTGTTTTCGGGCGGGGTGGGCGCCCATGCTGTGGCCGGGGGCAGTGAGGAGGAGGAGGAGGAGCGGGCCGGCCGCGCTGCACTGAGGAAGGAGGTGGAGGAGGCGGCGGGAGTCCTCCCCCCCTCCCCGCCCGCCCCGCCGCCGCCGCCCGGGCTGTTCCTGTAAGGCGGGGAGACAATGAGTAAACTCTCCTTCCGAGCGCGGGCGCTGGACGCCGCCAAACCGCTGCCCATCTACCGCGGCAAGGACATGCCTGATCTCAACGACTGCGTCTCCATCAACCGGGCCGTGCCCCAGATGCCCACCGGGATRGAGAAGGAGGAGGAATCGGTAGGGACTCGAGTGTTTATTACCCCCCCTTCCCTCCTCCCCCCTCCCCTTTGTCAGTCGGGCCTTGCCATTCACAGAGCGCTTTACGCTCGCTGGAGGGCGCCGCTGCCGCTCCAACGCATGGGACCCTACGCTGGCGGAGTAGCGTAAACTCTCGGCCGGCGCAGCGCCCGCCCGCGGCCGCCATGTTGTTGCGTCCCAGTGTTGTGATTAGCTCGCAGCGCCGCTTACGCTGCCGTAAGGGGGCCTTGCCGTAAGCGGCGGCCGGGAATGGCGCAGGGGATGCGCTGGCCGCACTTRGCGTACAGCCTCTGTTTACCTTTTTTTTTTTTTAATTTCCCCCGGCTCAAAGTTAATTAATGCTGAGCGAGCATTTGACTAGGAAATATTTCTCTTTCACTTGAAAATTTGGTTTTGCTTTGGGTTCTGTGTGCAGTGACTTAAGAAAGTAAGGCGTTTTCAAAACAAACATCTTTCAGCAAGGTAACAATCCTTACTCCCCCGCCCGAGATGGTGCAGCGACTTGGGGCCTTGCAGCACTGCGCTGGGGGCCTCAACTGCGGAGTGGGACGTAGCTAGAGAGCGGTCCGAGCCGTTCGAGGACTGAGAGGCATCGAACGGGCGGGCTCTGTCTGCTTTGCTGGGACGCCGGCTCTTAGTGCGCAGCGTTTTGAGGAAGCCGAGATGCCCGGACTAGCCGCCCGCGCAGCGCTTTTCTGGGCGGCGTCCCTGACAATTGTCATTGGAGGGTGGTCTTTTTAGAAGTAGAGGACCTAGTACATCCAAATTGACAGTTGTGTTTTCGATAACAGGACCTTTTGGCAAAAAAGTTCCCCCTACCCCGGGTTAAATTTTGCACAAGATTGAATTTCATTTGACAGGGCAGAGAGTGTTTATGACTCTGGAGTGGTGCTACTTGGATGCGAAGTTCATAGTAACGGCACCTTCAAGAATTTCTTCAATGAACCCACAGTCCCGCCTTATTGTCAACTTTGGGTGTGTGTGGATTGGTTCTTTTGCTTCTGTGACTGTCAAAAGAAAGCTCGAGGTTTCCGTGATTGGTTTTCTCTTTTGACTATTAATATTKCAGGAAATGCACTTACGCCTTTCATTGGCTGCTGAGTTCTGACCTCATTGTGTTACCCTGTTATTACTACTTTCTGCTGTGATTTAATCACATTTCTCTTTGGTGTTTGGTTACTTGAAAGACAAAATTTTCAGAAAATGATATAGCCACAGCATCAGTATGAATATTCAGTTTTTTTTTTTTTAAAAAGATTCGTGCTTAAAGCTCAAAGCTGACTCGTATGTGAGAATTTTTTATTTTGTTTTACAGAATCTGTTTTTAACTTTAGTTTTCCATGAAAAGCATAATTCAAAAACAATATTAATAGTGTGTATGAAAATTGATTGAACTTTAAGAAACAACTTTGGAAATTTCCTGTTATTTTATGGTTTTTCACCCCCCCCCCAAAAAAAAGGACTTATAAGTCTTAAAAGTCAATGTGTGTAATTACTTGAGGCCTATTATTTTAGAACTGAGTCAGGACCCCTGTTGTAGAATGAATCGTTAACCCCTTGAAGATACATTATTTTTATTTTTTGCACTTAGCTCTGTAACACTTGGTCCTTAGTTAACCACATGTTTAGGTATTTTATCTTGGTTTAGGGGAAAAGTTGAGATTAGTTTTATGTTGTTTTTTTTTTAAATGCTCCTGTCATAATTTTATTTTTTGAATACAGCTTGCGATTTTCCATTTGGAGCATAAGTGCTAAACTTAAATTCTATTCATTGGCCTGCTTCACCTGCCCAATTTTAAGGAAGAAAAAAAAATCCAATTTTGTTAGAACTGGAGTCAGAACTGCTAACTCATTATTCTATCCTTTCTGCCTTTTTAATATTACAAATGGAGCCCTCTCTGCTCCCTTTACAGAAGATGGGAACCCAGGGGCACTCTACCTCTGAGTTAAATCCCAACCCTTCTAATTTTTAATTTTGAGGATGGATCTCTCTGAGTTGCCAAGGCTCGCCTGGAATTTGGGATTCTCCTGCCTTAGCCTTGTAAGTGGCTGGGATTACAGGCTTGGGCCACCATGCTAGGCACACATGAAGGTTGTTAAAATAAACCCTAATGGATAAAATGTACAGTCTAAAGTCTTGCTTACTGGACGTCCAGTTGGGGTATTAAGTTTTTCTTTTTCCTTGTTTTTTTTTTTTTTTTTTTAATAGCAGGTGTACTATTAAAAAAATAAGACTATTTGGGCTTTCATCACGACAGCCAATTCTGTTTTTAAGCAGAATGTAGTATTTAAAAAAAAAAGTTCTGCCTTAATAAAACAATTCTAAGCAGTAGTAAAATATAAGTTCCACAGATGTTTTGTTTCACTTGAATTGTATTTCAGTTCAGCTTCCAGTGTCGAGATATCTTAAGTGGTTATCTTCATTAGTATTTTTTTCTTAAATCATGACTTGTAAAAAAAAGAAAAAAATCCGCCCTTGGTCTATAGATTTATAATTGTTGATTGGTATTTCTAAACTATCCTTTACTATGTGGCTGGCAAAATTTATAACTTCATTTTGAAGACTTCATGGTTGACTTCCTCCTCTTTACATCTCTTTCAGTTCCCCTCCCCATAAAATTAAGGACTGTCTCCTCTTTGTAATTGTGGACTGTCATTGGACTTTGTTTATATAGTCATTGATCAATTTTGAGTTATATTCTAACAATGCCTAAATATGGTAATTTAGGTTTCTTTTAGCTTTGGTGACATGCTACTATTATTGCTGACTACATCATTCTCTCAGTCCTTGCCCCACCTCCCCATGCTAGGGATGGAACCTACGAAATTGTGCTTGCTAGGCAAGTGCTCTACCAACAAGACACATCTCCAGCCCCGTTTCATTGCCTAGGATCTGCCAGTTGATAGCCTTCTATAATTTGTAGTACTCCTCATGGTTCTTGGTCTAGGTCAAATACAATAAATGTATGTTTGTTTATTTATTTTTATTTTTTAATATTTATTTTTTAGTTATAGATGGACACATCTTTATTTTTATGTGGTGCTGAGGCTCGAACCCAGTGCCTCACGCGTGCTAAGTAGTTCATAAGCTTTGCTTCTCCCCATTTTCACTATTATCATTGAATGTTTAAGTTATTTTATGCATGTAAGAATTTTGCAGGAAGCTATACATTTTATTAT